AAAACAGCACCATCAACATCAGTAGGACACTGACTGTTGCTTGGCGGGCCTGGGCTGGGGATTCGAACCCGCCACCTTAGGTGTATGTGGCTGGCGCCTTAGCCGCTTGAGCCACAGGCGCCGAGCCAGAAGAGTAGAATTTTATTTCTTCTTCCTTTCAGTGAAAGAAATGATATAGTAAATAACAAAAGAACCAGCAATTTATTAAGCTAGTTTATGATAAATAGGAAAAATAATCTTTCCTTTGATAATACATATGCTTTGGAAAACATCACACCATAAATATGCAATTTATTATCTTGAAAAGCCCAACTGTATGAACAGACTAAGCCCTCCAGCTGAAAAGAAAAATCAAATTCTTTCCATCCTCACACCTGCATAGCTGATGACTTAAACCCAGCTGAGGCATGACCGTTTACGGTCAAGTGGCTGTGAAAAAACAAATGAAACCTAAGGAAAAGATGTTTTGCAAGAGTGCCTTAAAAATAAAAACACATACTGAGAGAAGCAAAATGCAATTAAAGAAGGAGAGATGTGGTCTTTCCTCTTGGCATGTGAAGGGGCTCGCAGCCTCCTAGTCTAAATCTAGATGAAAATCATTCCAACAGAAATAAATCATTACCATATTCTACTGTAAACTCTCATAGTTTTTTCTACCAGAATAGCATGAAGTCTCTTTAAAAAATTCCTGCCAGGAAAGTGTTCACAACTGGTAAACCAGACGCAAGGGCATGGGTACTCACTGCACTGTTTTTCAGCTACTCTGCACTCTGAAATTTTCAAAGGGAAAGTAAAGTGATGACAACTCATCAAGATCACCATACTCACAGTCGGTGTACTTGAGGGAGCGAAAGACTTTCCGCTGGGGTGTTACTCGCTTGATGTTGGGATGATCTTCAAGTGTTAGCAGCCCCGCTTTCTGTTTTTCTTTTATCTGAATCACCTCAAAATCACTAGGATAGTCACTGGATGGATTGTTTCGAGGTATAATTCTCCAATTGCCTACTTCACTGCTCTTTAGGGCACTCGAAATAAATGAATTTCTAGCTTTGGCCGTGAAGTATCCATTGAAAGCCACAATGTATTCTGAAATCAATGACCACAGATAAAAACAAGAAATTACACACATATAATATAAACTATATTATAGCCGATCTAAAATACGGTAAAAGAAAAATTAAGTATCTTAAAGCCCACAGTAAAAAAGAACAAAAAGCAAAGGGTGGTGTCTGTGGCTTAGTGGGCAGGGCGCCAGCCCAATATACCGAGGGTGGCAGGTTCGAAACCAACCCCAACCAAACTGCAACAAAAAAATAGCCAGGCGTTGTGGCAGGTGCCTGTAGTCCCAGCTACTCGGGAGGCTGAGACAAGAGAATCGCCTAAGCCCAGGAGTTGGAGGTTGCTGCGGGCTGCGACGCCACGGCACTCTACCAAGGGTGATAAAGTGAGACTCTGTCTCTTAAAAAAAAAAAGGCAAACAAAAAGAAAACCTGGTTTAAATGTCCCAACAGCTATTTGCGGAGCTTTCAGTTAAAACAACCTGTGTGAATCCCTGATCAGAAAGAATACATCACTCAAAACTGATCATTGGGATATTTTTTAAAAAACAAATACCTACAGAAGTTTGAATATACAACAAAGACATAGATATAAATTTTTTCAGAAAAAAGGAATTCGCACAACTGAACACTGTTTCACCTTAATGAAAATAGTAACAAAATTCCAGAGTAGATTATATGAGACTATTTGTTTACTCATATCTGGTTGCTTAAACTTTAGAACATAACAAACACTTGGCATCTGCAAACCCCCACCCTCACCAGCTACAATGGCATCTTCTCCTTTGAATCAAGTAGTAGGTAAACAATTAACAATGTCAATTTCCTTGTTTCAGACAAGCTCACTGCACTGTGAAAACAAACTTAAGCCATGTTACCATATACTATGCACTCATCCCACTTCACATTTATTGTAGAAAAAAGCGGTATGTTCTTTGACAAAAGCTAGTGTTTACATTACATTTGAAAGAAACAGAATGGAAGGCCCTAACATTTAAACAATACTATTACCATATTCCACAACTGTTGATGAGAATTCCACCTTCAAAGTAAGGTGAGAACAGCCAGGGCATGGGGCCTTTTCAAAAGATTTCTTTTCCAGTCTGTCACCCAGATGTTTCTTCCCACAAAGCAAAACCACTAGCAGAAGCAGCCAGATGTTGACAAGCTTCATGGTCACAAGTGAATAAGATCATAAAATTGCATAAATTCAAATCGCACTTTTCTTCCTTGATTAAAAGTGAATTTTTGTTTCAGCTAAAAGTTGCAACATTACTGATCAGCCATCTTACAGTCTTGTCCAACGTAAATAAAAGTTAAATCCCATGGCCTTTAGTGTCTTGCCCTGAAAATAGGCTTTCATTTCTTTCTCCGTTTCTTCTCCATCTTGGACATAAGGCTTCTCTCACTCAAGCCGAGATGACTGAGTCCTATACTCCATTTGTACCACAAAACCAAAGTCCCACGGAGCTGATCAATCACTCTGTGAGCCAACCTATGAAACAAAAAACAGCACCATCAACATCAATAGGACACTGACATGCCAGGTCAATCTACCTACATTACAATTGCAATAAAAAGGCTGGCCAGGGGCAATGGTTACTCCCAGCTACTCAGGAGACTAGGGCAGAAGGACTGCTTGAGATCAGGAGGTTGAGTCCCATCTGGAAAACACAGTGATACCCTGTCTTTAAAAAAATAAAACAAAATAAGGGTGGCACCTGGGGCTCAAAAGAGTAGGGTGCTGGCCCCATATGCTGGAGGTGGTGGATTCAAACCCAGCCCTGGCCAAAAACTGCAAAATAAATAAATAAAAATAATACAAAATAAAGTGAGGGTAAGAAAGATAGCCCAGTTATAAGATAAATGTGTTAAACAACCATAAAACATCTTATAATTTCATTTTATTTACTCATTCTTCATTGCTTTCAGGGAAAAAAGTGAAGTTTTAAGGCATCTTTGAAAATAAAAAAGGATAAAAAAGAGAGAGAAAAAAGGAGAAAAGTGGAAAAAAATTAAAGACAACAAAAGAACACCAAGAATATGTTCCTGAGCATTCCAACAGCCAAAAAAGAAGGAATCACTGGCCAGTCATGGTGGCTCACACCTATAATCTGAGCACTCTGGGAGGCCGAGGAAGGTGAATTACCTGGGCTCAGGTGTTCAAGACCACCAGCCTGAACAAAAGCAAGACCCTGTCTCTACCAAAAACAGGAAAACTAGCTGGGCATTGTGGCGGGTGCCTATAGTCCCAACTACTCAGAAGGCTGAGCCCAAAAGTTTGAGGCGGCTGTGAGCTATGATGCCATGGCACTCTACCCCAGGACAACAGAGTGAAACTCTGTCTCAAAAGAAAAAAGGAGGAGTCGCGACCTTTGCTGATGATCCTTCACTTCACTTCCTTTCCCAGTTTGTATTTTCCCACCACTTGCAGGACTCCTCCCACAGTCAGCACTCTTACCCACTGCAGATTTCACCAGCTTTTCAGGCAAACTGTTAGTGTACATCCTCACTTTCTAATACAAAATTAATACCTAACAACAAACTAATTTCCATGCAAGTCATATTTAACACCTTTTCGAAGGGACACCGTGCTTTAAAATTGTTCAGATTTTAAAATATTTTCTGTCAATTCTATGAAAAAAGCATAGAAGGTATTTTACTGTCATTAGATACATTTTACCTGAAACTTCAAACTTAAAAAAAAAAAAATTAGTCTGCTAAATCTGCTGTAAAAGCAGATTACCTCTTTCTTGGAAGTCGTATGAGAGGACAGTTCATGGGGGAAGAATTACCAAAGAAAAATGTTATCTGAGTATTAAATTGCACAAGGGCACAGATTTCTTTCAAAATATCCCAATTCTAAGGAACACTGTTATTCTTCACAATGAAAAACAGAGCAGCAGTAAAAAACAATGCCGGCTACAGCACGTACAGAAACCTCAGTGGTACAGATCACACCTGAGATGTAAGTAATCCAGCAGGGGATGGATAAAATAAGCAAGACAGGCCTTGTACCACTACTTGTTTTTAGAAAGACACCCTTCAGAACAAAGAATTAGCCATCTTTCAAGAAAAATATGTCATGCTGTAAAAAATCATTCTTCAAGCAGAAACTGGTACTTTATAGCAAAAAGAGTTTTTGATTTCTGGAATTATCCATGTGTGCTTCTCCAAACAGGAAATCACTGATAAGGGTTACAGTATCTAAAGAACTTTACAAAATGTATTAAACAGGACTTTCACTGCTGTAGTAACAAATGAGTCTAAAAAACAAGCCTATCTCTAGAACTGACACTGAACACTAAAGTTAGAGAAACAGAATGCATCATAGATGAATGAAATGTTTATAACTACTTGGATCTCTAGCTGGGTCCCATGTTCAGTGGTTAGTTCAGTGGTTAGAGCATCACACCAGGGGTTGCGGGTTCAAACCTCACCTGGGCCTGATTAACAAAAACAACAACAAAAAACTACATCTATCTCAATAAGAAAAACAAGCCTAAGAACTTCAACTACAAGAACAAAGACCAAAACAGAAAGACCAAAAACAAAGAGCAGAGGGTTCTTCAAGTTACTCTGAACACATCCTACAGCATCCACTCGGGAGGGAGCCCTGATTTCTTAGTTTATGCTTGACAGTCTCAGCAATGGAATATCAAAGAATTACATGAAGCATATACCTAGCTTAATTAAAGATTACTGGTCAAAGAAAATAAAGCTGATGATAAGAGTTCTCATGTTATACTAAATGAATATATATTTAAAAGATTTAAATATGTCTATCAATCAAGACAAATTTTAAAAAAAGTCTCAGAACTCTTCCTCTTCAATCTAAAGAATCTGAGAAATATACCATATAACACAAATACCAGTGAGAAAATCTTAGTCCTAACTGGTTAGAGCAAGTTTAATTAAACCTATTTCAAAATAATTCACTCACAGGTAAAGTCAGTGAATTTAATATTATAATGTAGTCTAGGCAGAAGAGATTGGTGATACGCTCTTACAACTTCAACAAGAGGCTGACTTTATAAAAAGGAAGAAATGTAAAGCAAGGGTTAGAGGTTTTTTTAACGCAAAAAACCAAAATCCCTAAGGTGATCCGTTCTCCCCCCAAAACAGATTTTAGGTTTATGGAAATAAGAACACTGAAAAGGCAGTATTATAAGACATTCTACTCCCCGCATTAAACCAGGCAATCTTACAGGGTACTCACCAAGACCAGACACTGCCAGGGGCCGCAAAGCATCCCATACTGTTCAGAAGTCAGGGACACAGCCTTGCCTGTAATCCAGCAGAGGAAGCCAACCACAAAAAACAGCTAAACTAAATGCAGGAAATGAAAACAGCAGAGAGGCAAACATAAAGTGCCAGGGAAGCTGAATGGGCTGAATTGGTACAGGGTGTTCTCTTCTGGGGAGTTAAGAGGAGCTTCTGGTGATTAGGAGGCATTGCTGGCTCCTGCACAATCTGAGCTGGGAAGGCTGAAGTATCAACACAGTAGAGTGGAGAGGAGCATCCTGAGCAGACCAACATTAGAGACACGGGACAGGGCCAAACAGGATGTGCACCAGCAGTACTTCATCCAGTCTGAGGAGGGAGGCCATGGGATGCCCACCTGGGGAGGCTGAAAGATGATGGGAGTGGGAGGACCTCAAGTAGAACATCCAGCCAACAGCTGGCAGTACAGACTAGCTCCATCTAATACTCTGTAGGGAGTGAAGATCAGAGATAAAGCAAGAGTCAGGGATGAGACTGCTGAGCTCCTCTGTTCACTCAACTCATTCACTGAGCAACCACTGAGGGCCAGGCACGTTCCAGGCAGTAGGAACAGAGTAATGAGAAAAATACAACAGAAATCTCTGACCTCCTGGAGCTTACCTTCCAGTACCGGGAGACGGACAATAAAACAGAGTGTTTCACTAGTGATGAATACCACATTTGGAAAAGAAAAAATATAGGAAATAGGACAAGTCAGGAGAAGATCGTTGACTTTTTAGCTAGAATGCTGCAGAGGCCTCTGAGACACTGCAGGACATATTGCCAAGGCCTGAAGGAAGCAGGAGGCCTGGGGAAGGGGCATTCCAGGCAATAGGAAAAGCAAGTGCAAAGCCCTGGGGCGAGGAACATTCCTCAAAATAAGAATTTCCTTTGAAGAAAAGAAAACCACCAGGAGGACAGCAGGCACCTGTGGTCCCAGCTACTCAGCAGGCTGAGGCAAGAGAATTGCCTAAGCCCAAGAGCTGGAGGTTGCTATGAGCTGTGGCACACTCAACTGAGGGCACAAAGTGAGACTCTGTCTCTTAAAAAACAAACAAACAAACAAACCACCAGCGGGATCTGGAAGCCAGTGAATGGTGGCACATGCAAGGGGGTCCACAGGGCCAGCCACTCATTACTGGTCCCTGTGCTCATAGGCCTATTTTTAAGGACATTCTGTCCCCCATGGCCTTCTCTAAAGGGGCTTTATAAGCACCTTGCACTTTCCAGTGTCTCACACATCTGTTCACCAGGGTCACCCACTGGTCCTTCCTGGTTCTCATTGCACATTGCTAACCTGCTTGTCCTCACCATCCAGGACCAGCAGGTTAGCAGCAGCAGGAAGGTAAGCACACAGAAGAGGTGTACACTGACACACACAGAAAAACACTTTTATTTATTTATTTTTAGAGATGGTGTCCCGTTCTAGCTCAGACTAGTCTCAAATTCATGAGCTCAGGCGATCTGCCCACCTCAGCCTTCCAATCTCATGTCTGGGATTACAGACATGAGCCACTGTGCCTGCCAGAAAAACACTTTTAAAAGGAGTTCTAACTTTTCCTTTCCTTCTTCCTTTTCTGAGTAATTCTGTTGAAGGCAAGAACGCAGACATCCGTGGAAGAGCAGCAGTGGCCCACTGTGCAGTGCTGGAGTCTGGGCAGGTGAGAAGAGGTGAGAGGGGAGAGGCACCTGGTGAGGGGGTCAGACCTCTAGTGGGTGAGGGTGGCACGAGACAGGCAACAAGGTGATGGTAGTGAAGACAAACTGTTTGATTAAGCAAACCAACATTTTAAAGATAATGGGCCAGGTATCGTGGCTCATGCCTGTAATCTCCACACTCTGGAAGGCCAAGGAAGAAGGATCCTTTGAGCTCAGGAGCAAGAAACCAGCCTAAGCAAGAGCAAGACTCATCTCTACTAAAAAAACAGAAAAATCAGCCAGGTGTGGTGGCATGTAGTCCCAGCTACTGGGGAGGCTAAGGCAAGAGGATGGCTTGAACCCAAAAGTTTGAGGTTGCTATGAGCTTAGGCTGAGGCCATGGCACTCTAGCCTAGGTGAGAGTGACACTGTCTCAAAAAATACATATATGCTTATATATGTATAGGTATACACACACATACATAAGATAACACAAGCAGCTTTCTTACCGTCAGAGAAAGAAGTTACAAATATGAAAGGGAAAAAACTGAATGAACCATTTGGTATCAGACGGAAATTGTAAGTGCTAGTATA